TGCCTAATTTTATTTGCAGTAATCACTTATGTAAAGATTTCTAATAGTTTAGGAATATTGTGTTTTAAAAAGAGTTGCTATCCAGTTTTGGATATTTATAGTACAAAAAATATTTTATCAACTTGTTGCTCTCACATTTGGGGCAGGTACATCTCAAGTTTTGGGGCTTTTTTGTTCCCAGGCTCCAATCATCGCAATTTTTTGCAAACCATTCTTATTTGACATAAGTATAAACATATAAATGTTTGGAGTTAGCTACACGTCTGGAAGTTAGCTAACCAAAAAATGCTGGATCCACCTCTGATATTGTATATAAAATATAACACGCGAACAAAATAATACAATATGTTATAATATAATGAATATTTTGATTCAAAAATAAGACTATTTAATTATAGTTAATATTATAATAGTTAAAAGAAAATATTTCTACATAAAATAAATGAAAACCTATTGATAAATTGTTTTATTTTTAACTTTAGACTAATTTTATTATGTCAAGCATTAATAGAAATCAAATCCATTTATTTATAAGAGAAAACAAATTATCATTATCAAATGAAAAAGATAAGCTGGTAGTTTTTAATTTTATTAGTGAACAACTTGGCAATTCTAAATGTAAGGTTCAATTTTCAAAATTTACTTTTGAATACAGAAAGCGATGGGCTGTAAGTGGACATTACAATGATATATTTTTGGATAAAAATTTAGCCTGGCTTTGCAAAGACTTTATTAGTCCCCATCAAACCTTTTCTTTATGCAATACAGAAACTACACCTAAATTATCTCTTGGCAGGCCTTGTAAATCATTTGAAGAATCATCTGATAAATCTAAAAAGAGGAAAGTGTCAAAACTTGAATCATTAGCAAGTTCTTCAAACGAGCTGTTGTTTGCTAGCAGTTGCAAACTTTGGAAACAAGGAAGGAGAAAGCATGCTAAGCTAGTTGGAAATTTATCAAAAACTCAAACTGATGAACATGTTCAAAATACTCCCAATGAAACCTTAGCACTCATCTTAGATAATAATCTGAGCAAGTCTGATTATCAGCGCCTAAGAAACAATGCTGTAAGAAAAGGCTGTAATTTATATCCAGCTTATAATAATGTACGGGAAGCAAAAGTACTTGGTCTTCCAGAGAATAACCTATGGACTGTCATTGACTATTCTGCAGAGGTCAACATGCAAGCATTGGTCAATCATACAGCACTACGTTTAATAGAATGTCAGGCAGAACTTATTAACTCCTTAGAAGATCTTCAACGAATGACCCTAAGGTCCAAAGTTGGCTTTGATGGATCAACTGGCCAAAGCCTTTATACTCAAATAAAAACAGAAGAAGAAAACAGAAATATTACAAATGAAGCCAGCTTATTTCTCACTTGCTTTGTGCCTTTGCAGTTATCTGGATATTGTAATGACAAAAAGAAGATTATTTGGTCCAACCCTCATCCATCATCCTCTTTATTTTGCAGACCAATAAGATTCTCCTATAAAAAAGAAACATAAGATGTATTAAAAGAAGAAGAAGAACAAATCCTTTACAACTCAATAGAAAAATTATTTACTACAAAGTATGACAAATTAACAGTTCTGCACAAAATTGAAATTACAATGGTGGATGAGAAAGTTGCCACAGCACTATCCACAGCAACAAAATCATCGCAATGCTGCTCAGTTTGTGGTTGCAATCCAAAAAAATGAATGACTTAAATACTGCAAAAAATCTCCCAATTACTAAAACTGGACTCAATTATGGGCTTTCAACTCTCCATGCATGGATCAGAACTATGGAATGCCTTCTCAAAATAAGTTACAAATTAACAATACAGAAATGGTCAACACGAGAACCATCAGAAAAAAATAAAATTCAAGATAAAAAGACATCAATTCAAAAGAAACTTCGTGATGAAGTTGGACTTTTAATTGATTTTCCAAGGACTTGTGGTTCAGGATCTTCAAACACTGGCAATATTGCTTGACAATTTTTTCAAAATGCAGAGAAGACTGCTGAAATTCTCCAACTAGATGTCATCATCATTGTTATTTTGCATGTTATTTTGTGCACTTTATCGTCACAATATGTTATTGATTCTTCTCGATTTAGAGACTTCTGCATGCAAACAGCTGAACGATATGTAAACCAGTATACATGGTACCACATGCCACAGGGCCTGCACTGGATTTTTATTCATGGTTGGCAAGTTGTGGATTGAATGGCTTTGCCAATTGGCATGCTCAGTGAAGAGCACGTAACAAAGACTTCAAGAAGTTCCAGGATTCTTTTTCAAGAAAGTGCTCTCGTTCTAAAACAAATGAAGACTTGTTAAGGAGATTGATGTTTCATCTGATCCAATTATTAGTAATTTGAGAACACCACATCATCCAAAGAAGAAAGACTTTCCAGATGGAGTGCTAGAGCTACTAAAAGAAGTACCACTTGAAGATTTTGTGTAAATATATTATATTATTACATTTTTACTGCAATGTTACTTAAATTGTGTTTCTGTTTTTATTTTTTCTGCTTATCTCTTTACTATATTTTTATTGCTACAAATTAACGATGTTATAACAACATTTTGTTTACCCCATTGTAACTAAGGATATTGTAACTAAGCAATATAATTATCCATAGCAACAAAATAAAAAAATAGCACCTTCATAAAAAATGCACACATCATATTAGTACTCATGCTAATTTTAGTAAATATAGCACTCGTGAAATATCTGGAAATCCCAAAAATAGGTTGTTGCTAAGCAAAATAAAGGTATCCATAGCAACAAAATAAAAAAATAGCACCTTCATAAAAAGGGCAGACATCATATTAGTACTTGTGCTAATTTTAGTGATTATAGCGCTAATATTAAATTAGTTATGAATTTTGTCCAGTAAAAGTGAATTCTGGCCCACTGTGCAAGAGTGAAAAATATGCCAAACGCAGGAAAATCATATAAAGAAAATGCGTCTGTTGCCAGTGAGAAAAGCTATTAAAAAATACTTTAAATTTTGTAATGTAAACAAAAAAAAAATTGATTTTGAAACTCAAAAATGGCTAAGGATTTCAATGTAATCCATCCTCCTAAAATGCCAGATGATAAGCTCATTCTTGAAGTTCTGCTACCCATAGAGCTCCATTAGCTTCTTGGTACTATAAACCACGTTTCAAAACTTGTGTGACATTTTGGTCAGTTGTAGAAGGGCCAAAGATGCTTTATATTGGCATTGAACCAGATCACAAGGACTGGTTTATTGGCAATAATAGCTTTAAACTTTAAAAAAATGTGAGCACACTTTAGAGACAAAAATTGCAGTTTCTTTTCAGCATTCAATTTCATTGATTTTCAGCATTCAATTTCATTCGAAAAATTCAGTGAAGTTATACACACTCAACCCAGATTTTTAAAACAAAATTCATCAATTCAAAGAGTCTTATTTTAGACTAAACTTCTCTGTTACCCCCAAAAATTCATGCTATCTTTTGCCAAACTTCTTAAGCACAATGAACCAAAGCTTTGGAGTCTACATAAAACAAGCAACAGAATCTCTTCACTTTAATATCCAAATGCACCAAGGGAGTTACTAGAGACAACCTAGCCATCCTGACTATGCTAAGTAGCTGCTGAAATATTTTGTAGAATACAACACCAAGCATTTGTAAGAACTGTATTTTTCAGAGTTGAACTGAAATTATTTTTGCCACTCAAGAATCAAATAAAGAATATTGGTATACAAATAAAGAATGCTGATAATATTTAGTAATATGTATTAATTTATTAGGTTATTACAGGCTTGGTCGGGAAGCGGGTGTGATCGCACTCGATAACTGACAACGGAAATAATATTTAGTTGCGAAAAACCGGCCAGATTTTTTAGTCGTTTTGAGAACATTCAAGTTCACGTATGTTTCCTTGTTTGTCCGCAAAATAATTGTTAAGTTATCGTAAATCTTAGAATATTTTGTATTACGGACTTTCATGGAAACATACATAAACTCAAATGTTCTCAAACTTTGTGAGGAAAAATAAAAAAAAGAATATTCGCAAACACAAAAACCTGCCAAATCTACTAACAACTAATTCTATTGGTTCAAAAAATACTAACGGAAATTTCTAGAGTATTCAAAAAATGCTAACTGAATGTTCTAGAGAATTCTGTTGAATTATTTTCAAAAGTTGTATTATTTGAGTTTTGTTATGTTTTCGTCGAGATTTCTAGCATAAGTTGTTTTAACAATATACTACCAATTGAACTTTTATTTTAATACTATGTCATTTTCGAAGCCACATCTACAAAGCTATAAATGTTTTAAATTAACATTAATTGTTTGCAAAAATAAATGTTTTAAATTTATGTTTTTAAGTTATTAGAAAGAAAAGATTTCAAGTTCTTAGAAATTGGTTAACTAGCTTCAATTATTTTTGCTTCAGCCATTCTTACAAACTCGTTATACTTAACTCTGTTCTGTTTTAAATACTAATTAAAATTATAAAGCCCACTTACTAAACATTATCAGCGGTAATGTGAAGCTGTTCCGCTTCCTCCTCACTAAGTAATTTAACGTTTTTAGTTAATTTCTATCTAGTTAATTGAATTTCTACAGTAACTCAATGATTTAATTATTTCATTTGTTCATCTTAGTAAAAAGAATAGTTTCAAATGTGTTAAACTTTTCAAACTATGCGAAGCATAAAACAGTTATTAAAAAAACCTTTTTATTTATATATAAATCATCTAGAATTAGTTTGAACTGGTTGAATCTTGTTGCATTTTTCAGGACTGCGGGCTGCATTATTTTAGTGGCATTTATTATGTGCCACAGCATAAAAATGACTAAAAAAAATACCGAATGGTCCTTTTGACTATTTTGCGGCCTCTAAAAATGTGAGTCCCAGGGCTATAGCCCTACTACCTATATTATACTGTAGTAATATTTAAAATGATAATAATGGCTTGTTTTTAAGAAGTTTTAGTTTAATTTAAATTATTCTTGTATTATTTAGTCGCAATGCTTCTGATGCATTTCGTGTCAATATAATTCATGCAAGAGGTCAAGTTCGTTCTCCTGTCTCAAATATTGCTGGTACTAGTTTCTTTCATATAAAACGTGGGAATGTATGGATTGCAGCTGCTACTAAACAGAATTGCAATGCTGCATTAGTTTTTGAATTTTTATATAAAACAGTTGAAGTCATGTCAAATTATTTTGGAAAAGTTACTGAAGACAATGTGAAAAATAACTTTGTTTTAATATATGAATTATTAGATGGTAAGTCAATTATTTTAACAATTAAATTTAATTTACTAGATGACTAGTGATTATTCATTGTTTTATTATTAGTAGTAGTAGTAGAGAAATCATTATTTTTACATTTTGATCAATTTCATAAGGTGATCAGATGGTGATCAAAAATATAATTTATAAATCATGAGATTTATGAGGTTATAAATTATGAATATTATGAATAAAGGGCTGTAATCCCTTTAAAATTATTTTTTTGTTCTAAAATTTTGTAAGATTTTGTTGCATAACGGAAAAGCGTAATGCAAGTAAATGTAACTTTACTCAATAAAGATATTTACATTGTTAAAAGTTTAATTGTGTCAGTTGCATATTTTAAAGTACCGCATTGTTATTAAATTAAATTTAAAACCACATTAAAAACCGTTAGAAGTCTTTATCTTTATAAAATATCTTTAAATTAAACAATATTGTTATAAAAAAAATTATAAAATTTAAATGTTAAATTTAAATGTTTAAATTTAAATGTTTAAATTTAAATTCCTTATTTTAAAATCTTATACTTATTTAAACTTATATTTTTTTCCTTAAAACATTTGTCTTATGGTTTTTTTTTTTAAATTAGGGGACAATTGTTTGTGGTTGAATTTCTAAAGGGATTAAAGTATAATTACAAAAAAAAGATAATTAATGATAAAAAAAAACTTTTCTAAAAAGCAATATCAAAACTGAAATGTAAAAAAAAATTAAATTTATAAATTTTTTTTCTTTACTTCAACATAGTTTAAAAATTTAGCAGTAAAAAAAAATTGTAAAATGGAGCATTTTAAAATTTTTAAAAGAATTTGAATTTATTTAAAAAAAAAGATTTATATTTAAAAATATTTAAAAACAAATTAAAATTAAATTTAACTAAGTAAATTGAAAACAAATTTTTTTTTTTTTAATTGAAAATAGAAAACAGTTTATCTATCTGTTTTTCCATCTAATAAAAGAAATATTCCTCAATTTTTTTTTACACCAATTAATTACAGCTTAATGTTTTCCACATAAACTCTTCTAAAAGACTGTTTAAATAAAATAATTGAAAAAAGTTCTTGCATAACATAAATTGCTTAACATGTACGTGAAATAGCCATTTCATACATAAAATCCAAATAGCATAACGCTTTTTAATAAGGCCTAGGGTTAGCAAATTTAAAAATTATTCTTTCTTTAGAAAAATAGGTCTATTATATTTCTATCACACTGCAATGTGTAATAATACTAATATTAAAAAGTTGAAATAACTAAAAGCAGATGCCGTTTTTCAAAAATTTTTTAGCAAATAAAGTACATAGAAACTCACTAATTATATTTAATTTTACTAATTATATTTAAAAAATGTCAAATATCTTTCTTTTTTTTTAAGCTTTAAATTTAGTGTGGTAGTGGTGTAGTGAGAATCACTTAGTAATTTTAGAAAAACAGAGTTCAAGTCCACCACATTCCTGGAAGTGGGGAATATTCCCTGAAAGAACCCTTGCTCAATTTGTACTTCAATGCAGCTGCCTTGCTTGACAAGGTTTGTAAGAGCAGGGTTCCCACTCCTTAAAAAACCTTAAATATCCTTAAAAAATAAAAACCTCCTTAAATGTACTTAAATAACTTTAAAAAAAGTTAAAATTCGACTGCTCTCCTTAATTTCTCCTTGTTTCTTTTTTTTAATCATCTAGGAAATTTTATTAAAGTAAATGGATAACACAGGTCAACAAAAAAAAACATTTTTCTGGTGCCAAGAAAACAATTTGTTTTTTGTATAGCATTTCTCATTTTGAATTCAAATATGCAACTCATTTTTCACCATCACGTCAAGTTGTAAAGTTATTTGGGTTCAAATCTTTAGTATTTGAACCCAAAGTATTGTCAAAAAAAAAAATTATTTAAAAGTATGCCAACCTGGGTCTCTAAAGAAGCGTCTTATAGATTTTAAAAAACATAAATTGTTGACCTGTGTTATACTAATTAATAAAGAAGAAAATATAAAGTTCTTTGATAGATTGCTAACCTAAATATTTGTTATATATATTTATATATATATATATATATATATATATATATATATATATATATATATATATATATATATATATATATATATATATATATATATATATATATATATATATATATATATATATATGTATATGTATACTGGGTGGGCCATAAAAAGTGTGTCCATTTTAATGTGCAATAACTGAGACAAAAATTAATATTTTACAACATGTTTTATTTCACGTATGCAACAATGTTGCAGGTTTTGTTCAAACCAATCTTATCAAAATCTGTACATTTTACAGAGTCACAGAATCAATAGTTCATGATGTGCTCAATCCATGCGTTATTGAATAACAGAAGCGAGACAAACATTGAAGTTGTCCACAACTCTTGTCTGCAGGAATGCTTCTGATTTCTCTTCTGATGCTTTCCTTTAGTTCTACACTTGTTCTTGGATTGTTTATGTACACTCATTCTTTCAAATAACCCTGAAGAAAATAATCGGCAGAGTTCAAGTCTGGTGAATAAGGAGGCCAGGGATTGTCTGTCCGGTTATAAAGAAGTCTGTCGCCTGGGAACTGCTGTCTCAAATACTCAAAAATTTTGTTTGAACAATAAGGTGGTGCCCCATCTTGCTAGAAGACAACTGTGCGGATGTCAATATTTCTCCTTCGGATTGCTGGAATAAACTTCTTTCGTAGCCTTTCGATGTAACGTTCAAAGTTCACAGTCACAGCATTTCCCTCATTGTCTTCAAAAAAGGAGGGCTCAACAATCCCTCCTTTGCCAATTGCGCACCATACTGTTACTTTTTCTTGGCTCAATGGTGTCTGGATTTGTTCTTGGGGTTGATTAGGTTCCCAAAATCTCATGTTTTATTTTTTGACATGTCCATTAAGATAAAAATGGGCCTCATCGCTGAAAAAAATGAGTAAAATTTGATGATTTTGGTCATATCCTGTATTGGAATGCAATTTATTTTGGCGTCAAACCAATTGTTAATGCGGGATGCACAATCTGTCTGAAACGAAAAGATCAAATATCACATTGCATGAAAAAGGTTTACAAACCTTCTTGGCTATTGACTTGTATAGAAGAGAAAGAGTATCATTAGAAGAACCAACCCAAATATGACAACAGTATTCTATAGAGGGGAAAATAAGAGATTTGTATAAGTATGTAATCAGGAGTATGAAAATGACAAGCACGATAATAAGAAATAACCTTAGCAGATGCTAACTTTGCAATTGATTGTTTATATGGTTTCTATGAGAGGTCAGTAGTGAATGATTACCTAAGGTGTAAAGAAGACGACACAATGAGAGGGTTGCCATACATTAATATAAGAATGTCAACAGCAATACGATATGTGTTTGCAGTGAATAACTGAGTTTTATTGGAGTTAAAGTTCAAAAACCACTGCAATCTGTTACAGAAGTGAGATCAGATCCAATCTGTTACAGAAGTGAGTGGTTGAAAAGACAAGACTTTTTGTCAAGAGAGGAGTATAGAGTTGAGTCATTAGCAAATAGAGCCACTTAAGATGTAAGGTTGTCAGGAAGATCATTAATATCATAATCATAATATACATAGTCCGGCCAGTTTAAGAGAGCTATTTTTTATGTTATTGTTAGCTTTTTTTTAGAACCCAGTCTACCAATGAGTGCACACTTTTTGTAAACAAAGACACGTTAAAAATAAAATTAACAAAAATATATATATATTTAACCTTGTTGTTTGCAAATGCCTGGTGCTAATTGTTCTGTTTTGGCTGTGGTACTTCAAAAATAGAGAAAATTTTTGAATATCATAACTAAGGATGGAGTAGTCGATGAAAGCCTTAGGTCCCAAATATTCGTATACTATTCGTATATTTTTATGGGCTCTGCCAGATAATCATGAAATATACTTGCATCTAAAAAGATCAATGTTCAATACAACTGTTTGTAACCTTATTTCAGTTTTGCTGTCATATATAGTATGTCCAGGTATCCCAGATAAATTAATTAGCTCTCATGGCTATCTTCTTCATGTTATACCTAAAATTTTTGATTTATTTAAAAGTTATTCTTTACCTTTAAACCAAACAGAACATACCCAAGCTCTTTCATGTGATGTTATTAAAAAAAAAGATATTTGTAAAGGATGCCAATGCCTTCAGTCTCAAAACCAAATATCTGTTAAAAAAAATAGTAATAAATTACTTATTCCATCTAAACTTAGAGCTCCAATTTCTAAAACTGCACCAGAACGTGTAAAACTAACCTTACAAAGTTACCGTTTAGAAAATGAATTGCTTAAAGATAACATCAAAGAAATGCAACAGGAATTAAAAAAATCGTCCCATCATGTCAGTGATGACCTACACAAAGACTTGGTTTCAATCATATTAAAAAATGATAGTACAGTTTATGTAGTATTATTATATATCGAAAAATGATAGTACTATTTATGAAGTCATTTTGGGATGAACAACAAAAATACTTAAATGCTTCAATACAGGGAATTCGTTATCATCCAATGATTATTTGCTATTGTTTAGGTCTTGTTTCAAAGTTGCCTGCTGCTTATGAGGAAATTCGTTTCAATGAAAAAACTAATTCTGGTTTTGTCATTTTACAAAGTCAAAGGCGTTTAAGAGACTACAAAAACTATATCCGACCACAAGGAGGTTTTAACTATGAAATTGTGAATGAACTAAGTTTAAAGGTGAAGGATTTTTCTGATAAAGAACGGTTTGTTACACTTTTATTAGATGAAATGAAAATTCAAGAATATTTGGTATGGGATAAATATTCTGGTGATCTTATAGGATTTGTTGACCTTGGTGATGCTAATATTAACTATGCAACTCTGAATAAGGCTGATGAAATTGCAACACATGTTCTTGTTTTTCTTTAGATCAAAGACCTGGAAATTTCACTAAGGCCGATAGAGAGAATATGTTTTTATCTTGGCAAACATATGAAGGTATCAATATCACTGTCCAT